CCCCAAAACCCCAAAACCCCAAAACCCCAAAACCCCAAAACCCCAAAACCCCTGAGTATGCCTTAGAAATTGAAATTGAATAATCTCCTATAATTCCTTGAGCTGATGTAACATAGACAGACACTTATGAATATTAGTACCTGACATCTTTTCCCAGTGATGATAAGGATGATATAAAAATCAGGACAGGATAGTACTTCTATCAAAATAAACATCAGCAAGAGGAGTTTAACATATTTCATTTAGATCACTTATGTTAATTTTATTAGCAAAGCTTGAGCTCATGAGTTGTGTAAACCTTAATCAGATATAAATAGACATATTGGGAAGTAAATTTATCACTGAGATTTTATTTTTGATTCTCTAATCGGAAGAAACCCAAGAGCTATAATCGTTCTATTTGATTACATTGTTGCAGTTATAGCTAAGATCTGTAGAATATCAATAAATCAGACAAGTCTTAAGATTAGAAATCCCTTAGCTGCTTGTACGAATATTATTTATTCCATAACGGCCCAATGGAGTATCTAATTTTTAATAAACTGCATCCTATGCATAACAACATATAAGCTACAATAGAACTTAGGAATAAACTCAGTTGTTATGCACAATGTGTCTCTCTAAATCATTCAGCATTATTGGAAGGAGCCATTCCTGAATTAACTTTCTGCAGGACTTAGGCAACCTGAATAATCTTAATAGAAGTCGGCAATATTTGTTAAGAAGTCAGGAATAAATCTAGAACGAAGTTCAACCAGTCTAGGAGCATCTAAAGATGTCTCAGATTCTTAGTTATTTCTAATCGGCAAACCTTCAAATGTTCTTTTTGGATTTCAAATTTTAGGTTTTTACGATTTTAAGCAGAAATTTTGCAGGAGAATTTTAATAGTGCTGAGAAGAAGTAGCTTAAACTTTAGTATTCAGGTATTAATCAGATATAAGTTTTAGGCCGTAGGATCCATGATTATCAATGCTGAAACCTTTGGGAACCTTAGAGCTGAACTCTCTGCTAACTTGGCCTTCAGCTCAGATTCTATCGACATTAGATTTAAATGAGTACTTACTTTTCCTTACTGGACCTAAGTGCTTCTAACTTCTGGTTCAAGATGTATGAAGACTTGCATAGCCCAGGGGCTGATTTTAAGTCAGTGATCTTAGTATGAAAGAATTCGAACTTGTCGGCTATGTACCCAAATACATTTTTCATGTTCTCTTGAGTTGGGATATCTTCCTCAGATACTAAAGTGTTGGATGAATGAGCTTTGGCTTTATTCTTAGGCCTTCGGATTTTTCTCTTCTTCTCAGAAGTATGAATAAGAGCATGATGGACTAACCTTTGCAAATTAGGAGATAATGATTTGATCTTTTTCTGAAGGATATTCAGAGGAGTATTTCTCATCTTCCTAGTTATCCTAAACTCACCCGGATTCTTATTAACATCATGAGAAGTAAAGTTTAGGTTCTGGATTCTTACAGGGACTGGGGAATAAATTCTTGGCTGATGAGTATCTTGATCCTTCCAAACAAGGGCTCTCGGATGGTTTTTAGAAAGCTTAGTCTTTGATCTGACAGAAACCGGTGAGGGGCTTATAGTAAAAACCTTCTTCTATTGGAATATTATTACCACATATTATGGGTTTACAAAATATTACAACTTTTATAAAAATTCATACTTTGTTGACAAATTTTGGAGGTTTGGCTCCTTCAAACACAAATTTGTAACTGGTCTGCGTAGCATTTTGATTCTTCGCTTGCCAGATCTCTTTGTTTTATTCTGAATTCAAATTAGAGTTTTAAGTTAAAAAGAGCATTTTATGCTAAGTCAATGAATCAAAGCTATTAAAGGCGCACATGTCTTTGTAAAGTTTAAGAAACAGAGGGTTTCAGATAAAATGAAGCGTTATAGTGCGATTTATAGAGATATATTTCAGATTTAAAAGGATTCTTGCTTTTTATTGAGATAAATCAATATCTCTCCAGATTAAAACTACGCTGGAAGCTTTATGTGTTATTCTTCGGGCAAAAGATAAATAATTCTAAGAGTTCGTCTCATATGCTAAAAACCTTCCTTTAAAACCCAAAAATTATTGATTATCTCTTTGGAACCAAGGTGCTCTTACCACTTGAATCTGAGTTTGTTGGGCATGCTTTTCTAAGAACTTCTTCAGCTCAATACCTCTCGTAGACATCCACATTTTTCAATTATCCATAATAATTTTGGGGTTTTGGGGTTTTGGGGTTTTGGGGTTTTGGGG